TAATCAACACTTAATCTTTACATCATGACCTCAGACATCCAGCTTAAAGCTAAAATCATGGAACAGTTTTCTCTACTTTGTTGGAAGTAAACATTCATTGTAGACACATTTAAATGTTTCAGATGTATTATTGTGGACGGAGGATGAAGGTTTTATTTTTCTCAGTGTATGATGTGTTCAGGGAGGTGAGCGAGCATGAACGAGGCTGGAGGATTGACGCTGTGTTGTAGTCAAGACCACTGCAACCGAGACCAGGACATACCTGAGACCAGAGTGCTCTAAGACCAAGGCCAAGACTTTTAGGGATCCAGACCGAGTCAAAACCAAGACAATAAATATCACTGAATCATCATCTGGTGTGCAGGGGGCGTGTCCCTCTCAAACTACAAATGAATTAAAGTTCAGAAAGAGGCGTTTTCCATTTAATCAAAGTAATGATGTTTAAAAAACGGCGATCAGTGGTGGTCTTGATTTAAAACCCGGAGTCCGCCCAGTCTGAGACCGAGACAAGACCGAGTAGAAAGGCTTTCGATTTCGAGACAAGACCTTCAAAAAGCGATCTGGAGACCAAGACCGATTTTTAGTACTACAAAACTAGCTTAAAGCACCAATGAGAGATTTCAAGTTTGTACATTTTTAGCATGCATGGGCTACAGATCACCGTTTCCTGGATAACTTCTTGTGGATTAATTCAGGAAGAATTCTACAATATAGTTTTAGTTGGTCAATAATTAGGAATTTCAGGGGACTCCTTATGGGGTCTGGTCCGATAAGGGGACGCCTGCGTTAAGGAGTGGAACAGGTAAACCTAGGAAGTTCATTTTTGGCCGGGCCCTGCCAAGGAGCCACTTAAAAAATCTGCTCTTAAAAAATACATTTTAGGATGTGCTGGTGGGGCAGTGGTTAGTGCCGGGGCCCTATGTACAGAGGCTGTGGTCCTCCAGGTGGGGGGCCCGGGTTCGAGTCCAACCTGTGGCTCCGTTCCCCTCTCTCTCTTTCTCTGGTTTCCACTTTATCATGAAACTGTGTTTGTTGATGTTAGGTTTGCTGAAACACCTGAAAAAGTGTGTGTGTGTGTGTGTGTGTGTGTGTGTGTGTGTGTGTGTGTGTGTGTGTGTGTGTGTGTGTGTGTGTGTGTGTGTGTGTGTGTGTGTGTGTGTGTGTGTCTGTGTGTGTGTGTGTGTGTGTGTGTGTGTGTGTGTGTGTGTGTGTGTGTGTGTGTGTGTGTGTGTGTGTGTGTGTGTGTGTGTGTGTGTGTGTGTGTGTGTGTGTGTGTGTGTGTGTGTGTGTGTGTGTGTGTGTGTGTGTGTGTGTGAGTGTGTGTGTGTGTGTGTGTGTGAGGGAGGTGGTAAGTGAGGGGACAAATTCTGCACCTTGGGTGTGAAACATAGCTGGACCTGGAGGGTCAGCCAGAGGTGGGCAGTAAATGTCCTCTAACTGTAAAACGCTGACGTTCACACAGAGAGAGTAAACTTTTTAATACAACAAGAATGAACTGAGTCAGACGAACGCAGGAAACAGGAAACATGTGACCTGAGTTAACTTAATGTTATAGAAAACGATTGCATGAGCCTTACAATGCATTTCCTTTATCTGTCTTATTATCATGCATTAACCGGCCGGGTCTCATTCATGCTATCGGTTGGATGAAATGTTTTCATGTTTCCCTCCAAGCCGAGAATTGAGCCGAACCTTCAGTCTGCCGTCCTGATGAACCTGGTGAACAGATGAACCTGGTGGACAGGTGAACCTGGTGGACAGGTGAACCTGGTGGACAGATGAACCTGGTGGACAGATGAACCTGGTGGACAGATGAACAGGTGAACCTGGTGGACAGGTGAACCTGGTGGACAGCTGAACCTGGTGGACAGCTGAACCTGGTGGACAGGTGAACCTGGTGGACAGATGAACAGGTGAACCTGGTGAACAGATGAACCTGGTGGACAGGTGAACCTGGTGAACAGATGAACCTGGTGGACAGATGAACCTGGTGGACAGGTGAACCTGGTGGACAGCTGAACCTGGTGGACAGATGAACCTGGTGAACAGGTGAACCTGGTGGACAGATGAACCTGGTGGACAGATGAACCTGGTGGACAGGTGAACCTGGTGGACAGATGAACCTGGTGGACAGGTGAACCTGGTGGACAGATGAACCTGGTGGACAGATGAACCTGGTGGACAGATGAGCAGAGAGTCTTTCACACCTCAGACAGAGTAAACACATCCTCCTCCTACTACTGGCACTTGCTCACAGTTGTGTGCTGCCATGTTTTTACAAGCCCTCCTTACTTTACCCCCCTCACCCCCCTCACACACACACACACACACACACACACACACACACACACACACACACACACACACACACACACACACACACACACACACACACACACAGTGATACTCAGCTCCCACTCAATGTTTCTAGAAAGCAGTAAAGGAGTTTTTCAAATGTAAGCTTACCTGAAAGTGTAAAGACATGATCATCAGCTGAACTAAAATTAACCTGAAATATATTGTTTACGTTATTATGATATAAAGCTCCAATCAGTGAGCTGTGTAGAGAGTGAGCTGATAAAGGTATCTTACTCTCTGATCATTAAGGAAACATGCTATGTTGAAGTGCTGGCTTCTCTGACAACAATGCAGCAGCCAGTATGTCCTCCTTCTAACTTTAGATTCTGCTCCTGAATGCTCTGGATTTGTTTGGACCAGAGAAGGTAGGCGCTTTTAAGACACGCCCCCACACGGCCGTTTTGGACGCCCCTCAGTTTGTCAGATATGAGAGCAGTTATCAGGTCAACAGGTGTTGCAGCGATGGAAGCGGTCAAGAGAAGTGGTTCAGATAGAAGTGATTGTACCCGACCTAAAAAGCCTCTGCATGTTTCTAATAAGCTCCACGAGCAGAAACGTGCTCAAACTAGGATCAATATTGGAGATGCTTTTGAAAAATGGAGAGAGGTTAGAACACAGAAAGGTTTACAGACCCATGCAGAGCTGGATAAACACTGAAGCTTCAGAGTCCACCACATGGTGACCTGAGTGAGGGGGGGGGGAGACAGCTCTCTATGATGTTTAGAATCTGGACTGCAGTACACATTTTAAACACTAGGGGTCAGAGTTACATACTGCTCCTTTAAAAGAAGTTAATGTAGTTAGAAGTTAATGTTTTTTACATTTTAGCGTTTGATCATCTTCAGGATCTGGTGTTTACCTGCACACAGAGAAACCTTGGTTCTTCACATCCTTCTATACATGATGAATACGAGTACACAAATATTGTTTTATTCCAGTTACATTTGTAGAGATCTACTTTCATATAAGTTTCTTCTTTAATGACTCTTTTAAAACACACACGCTCTTAAGCCCTCAGCTTTATTCAAGTCATGACGGAGCTTCTATGTTACAGCTAATATACACAGGTCTACAGTATGTACAACAACAAGTAACGGTGGTCAGACTATTGTGATTCAGTACATTCACATACACGTGGGGAACATTCACTCTCGCACACACACACACACGGCTCAGTCACACGCAGGAAAGTAACATGCTCCTTAGAAATCTTGACACATGTCGTCAGAAATGCAGCAGGTTCTGTCACAAGTGAGCATTTTTATCAAAACAGCTAATCTCACAGATTCACGTCATTCTCTCTCTTTTAGAAAACAAAAACAAGACATAAATAAATAAACACAACAGTTCCTTAAACGTCGTCATGGCAGGATGTGACTCTGATCCTATAGAACCCACTACAGAACCAACGCTACGATTAAAGGAAGAATGTGCAACATTTAAAATATATCATAAAGTGTGTCCTGTGTAAATGTGTCTCTGAGTCCTGACTGTCTACAATGAGGGAGAAGCTCGAGTCCCGCTGGCTGTGTTGTTGTCAGAGCCGTGTTTACATGGACGGGACGGCCGGCTCCTCCCCTTGTGTATAAAAGCTGTTTTAGTCAAGAACCAGAGAGAAGAAGAAGAACATACTCACTGATTATTTGGATGTTAGTAAGAGTTTTTAGATCACGCTCATTCTGTGTCAGTTTACATGAAATGTGAAGCTACGAGCTAACTAAAGAGCGCTAACATTAGCATGCTAACACAACAATGTGAAGCTGCGAGCTAACTAAAGAGAGCTAACATTAGCATGCTAACACAACAATGCAGGACACAGGTGTAGCTCGAGCAAAGGACAATTTTCTACGTTGCTCGTGCTTAACTCCTCAAAGTGAACGCGAGTGTAAGAGGGGTTGGAGGTGTGTCTCTGGAGGAGGGCGGAGGCTTCAGTATGGAGGAGGCGTGGCCAAACAGCAGTTTGTTTTGGTTTTCATGCTGGAGCTCAAGGGCGACATCTACTGGATCAAAAAGTCGCACATTCTTCCTTTAAGAACAGACATGACGTCTCAGATGATGACAAAGAAAAAAAGACAAACGGGAGGAGAGTCCGGTGGGCTGTTCGGGGTTTGATCAGAAATGAACAGCGAAGGAGTCAGTAAGAAAAAAAACAAACAAACATGTGAACTAAAAATCGACTCTCTACATAAAACACAGGACGGTGCAGAGTGAATAAAGAGGGGATGAAACGGAAAGAGGTGTTTCTCTGAATAACATAAATCCAGCAGGTATATTGCTGCGGAGCCTTGGCAGTGAACACATCAGGTCATCACTATAAAGTCCTCTCTCTCTCGCTCTCTCTCTCTCTCTTTGCTTTATTTTCCAACAGGGAATGAACTCAAAGCACAACATGGTCAAATGAACTACAACACCTTCAAATACAGACACGGTTTCAGCTCATAATAATCTTTCTTTTTACACAAACCTCAAACAAAACAAACGTTTCTACTGTGTGTGTGTGTGTGTGTGTGTGTGTGTGTGTGTGTGTGTGTGTGTGTGTGTGTGTGTGTGTGTGTGTGTGTGTGTGTGTGTGTGTGTGTGTGTGTGTGTGTGTCAGACAGAAGGATGGGCAAAGGAAATGACAAACACAGGTTTCATATCATGTGACAGGAACGCTGGGCAGCCTGAGGAGCTTACAGAGGGAATAGAAAGCAACCACAGGTTCACATAGGCAACCAGACAGGTGTTCAACATTTGTTTTAATCATGTAACCACGGCGGACTCATACACACAGCGAGCACAGCACGGCCTTCTTCACTCGTCTTTCCATTTCAGTTCTAGCTGACACTTTCCCCGGGTTAGATTTTTCTCAGAGCTGTGCTTGCGTTTGGGGGGCCTGGAGGGTTGCAGGAGTTTGGCTTTTCAAGAGAGGAGTTTCTCCCGGGTTTCAGGCAGCTTGAGAGCCACCAGACCGCCGCAGACGAGGGCGGCAAAGGCCAGGAAGATGGGAACGATCTTGGTGACGCCGATGAAGGCTGCAAAGATGAAGCTGGCGAGGATGGCTGCAAACTTGCAGATTCCATTTAGGATACCAAAGGCCGTCCCTCTGCAGAGTCACAGAGACAGAGACAGATTAGATGCATAAACTTCATACGTCTGAGCGAGGAACTGAATATATTTGGACAATTCAAGTCGTTTTCTCTGAGGGAGATTAGATTGCTGCAAAAAAATCTAGAAAATGAGAAATGAGAAATTTGCAGACAAAAAAAGAGTCGAGTCATCTTTGTGTGAGACTTTTAAGATGAATTACAATTCATGATATCCTTAGTAGAGGAGCTTAATTATCCTTTTGCAAGAACTTAAAGAATCAATCAGATAGAAGTGATTGTACCCGACCTAAAAAGCCTCTGCATGTTTCTAATAAGCTCCACGAGCAGAAACGTGCTCAAACTAGGATCAATATTGGAGATGCTTTTGAAAAATGGAGAGAGGTTAGAACACAGAAAGGTTTACAGACCCATGCAGAGCTGGATAAACACTGAAGCTTCAGAGTCCACCACATGGTGACCTGAGTGAGCATCCACTCTAGAGAGGAGGGGGGAGACAGCTCTCTATGATGTTTAGAATTTAGACTGCAGTACCCATTTTAACCACTAGGGGTCAGAGTTGCATACTGCTCCTTTAAAAGAAGTTAATGTAGTTAGAAGTTAATGGTTTTTACATTTTAGCGTTTGATCATCTTCAGGATCTGGTCTTCACCTGCACACAGAGAAACCTTGGTTCTTCACATCCTTCTATACATGATGAATACGAGCATCCTGCTTTATGATAACTGCATCTTATCTGTGCAGGCGTCTCACTTACTCCATCATACGTGCTGGGACACCAGCGACCTGTAACCTGTTTACTAAAGGCTTGACATCAGTGGAAAATGGTGACCATTGGAATAAAGTGAGCCAGAGAAAGACCTAATGGAATAGGAGATTAGATAAAATGTGGGATCATCTTTTACTGCACCTTTTAGCAGAGGGATAGAGTTCAACAGAAATGACCTCTAATCCATTCCAGGCCGCCACGCTGGCACCATAGAAGAGACACTGCCAGCATATTACAGCTCCTTGGCTGAAACTCAGCAGCAACAGGAAAGTACAGGCTGCGGACACCAACATGGAGCCACCTGAAACAAGAGAGAAACCATCAGGACAATAACTACACACACACACAAATATCTATACAGCCACTGATAACCAAAAGGTCACCTATAATTCTGATTCGTCCGATCTTGTCCATGAACAACGCTGAGATGATGTTGCCAGGCAACACAGCCAAACTGCCCAGGAAGCTGACCATGTAGATGACGATGTCGTTCTCTTCCTGGAAGTTCATATGGCAGCCTTTCTTTGGGTGGAGGAAGGTGGTGTTCTCCATTCGACAGTCTTTGAACTTCTCCTGCCAGAGGTCTGGAGAACACAAAAACAATTCATATCAACAATATTTATTAGAGGATCTCAGGATGGCCGTGTCCCATTAGCCATAAGGTTTTCCTGAAAGTGGGCATTTGTTTACCCTAACCCTAACCCTAAGTACAGACGGAGCGGGGGACTGTTGATGAAAGGGGTGTAGGTGAGTTTTTCTTGGCTCTCAATTCTCGGCTTCCCTGTCTGATCATGGATTATGGTTGGGGAACAACCGTTTTGCTCGCCCATTGGTTTGCTGTTCTAAACGTCACTAGACTACAGGGATTCTGGGTAATATAGCCTTAAATAAAGTGAGGTCTGATGCGGACTTGTGGTGCATTAAGGGTGCAAGAGGGCGACCCATGCAGAACAACACTAGAGAAGTGGGACTCCTCATGGTCTAGCACCCTTTAGCAAGGGGGGAAGTGCGGATATTGGGAAAGGCCGGTGACTCAAGACAATCCAATCCAATAAAATGTTTGATACATGGCCCATGAAAGCGATTTTTTAACAATAGGGCGACTCCACCTTCAAAACTGGGACCACCCAAGGAGCACCTGAATGCAGCGTTTCTGTGTTTCTTTCCTTCTGTGTCAGGTCATACGACCAAACACTGGTGTTCCCTTTAGTAAGGAATCTTGGATTTGGCCCTCTGGCAAAAAAAGCCCAGGATTTTTGAGAGGGACCTGGGGGCTATTCTTTTTTCTCTAAAAGGTCCATAGAGATCAGATCAATCATCAAAACAGCTCAGCCAGAGAATGGTCACAGAATTGAGGTTTTGGACCCAACTACTTTTTTTCTAGATTTTATGTGGCCCTTTGTTGAAGATGGTTTTTGGACTTAAACAGAAATGAGCCTCATTTTGCCTTTTTAAAGGTCCGACAAATAACTAAAAGCAATCATTCTTTGACGACATACGATACCTGTGTTGTAGAAGACGGTGTTTTTGATGGTGCAGTTCTCAAAGAAGGTGTTGGTTGACTTGACGTCCTCAAAGTAGCAGTTTTCAAAAAGAGAATCCTCAAACTTCACTGACTTAATCTCGATGTTTGCAAACCTAGTGGAGAGAAAAAAACAGGAACGTGGTGACTTTAAAGAGCATGACCTGAAGTCTGAGTGAAGTAGATGTAAGTGCTTGATGATGTTGAGGAAACGTACTTGTCATGGATGTACTCGCCCTCGCGGTGGACCTGGTTGACCAGAGAGAAGTTGAAGTGGAAACGCTCAACCCGCTCTCGGTGAAACACTCGGACCTTGGACTCGTACTCCTCATACTGCATGTATTTGATCATATCAGGGAACCAGACTCCCAGGCCGTGGTAGCTGAAACACACAGACACATAACAACATGATCACTTTCGAACATAATGATCTGCATCACTAAACATTTGATTGGTTGATTTGGGTCTTTCTTTCCCGAGGACTTTCTTTCCCGTCAGATTAGCTCAGACTTGGAGAAGTTTTAAAAGATCACAGTTTAAGGTTTCCAATGCAAATGCACCAAGAAGGACATATTCAGTGTAATTCATAACAGAACCCTGTTAAGAGGAACCTTTTCAGCTCAGTATAGGTACTCTTCCAGCACTGTGGCGGTGTGAATGAAGACAGTTAAAAGCCTCTCCCTAATGGATAGTTCCTCTTAAAAAAGTCCCCAGAACGGTTTGGTCCAAAAACACCTTCATCCATCAATCCATCCAACCCTCTACTATCTTTCGCTTATCCGGGGCCGGGTCGCGTGGCAGCAGACTTCCCTCTCCCAACAACATTCTCCAGCTCCTCCTGGGGGATCCCGGACCAAAAGGGATATGTAATCCTTCCAGCGAGCTCTGGGTCTACACTTGGGTCTCCTCCCAGTTGGACTTGCCCAGAAGACTTCCAAAGGGAGACGTCCAGGAGACATCCTGATAAGATGCCCGAACCACCTCTAGTGGCTTCTTTCGATGTGTAGTAGCAGCGACTCTACTCTGATCTCCCTCCAGACGTCTGAGCTCCTCCCCTCCCTTTAAGGCTGAGCCCAAACACCTTCAGGAGGAAGCTAATTTCAGCTTCTTGTATCCGCAATCTTATTCTTTTGGTCACTGTGTGAGGGTTGGAACGAAGATGGAGCCGTAAACTGAGAGCTTTGCCTTCAGGCTCCGCCCCCTCTTCAACACAACGGTCTGTCACAGAGCTGCAATCCTGCCGACGCTGCAGCAATCTTGTGATCTAGTTTACCCTCACTTGTGAAGAAGACCCCGAGATACTTGAACTCCTTCACTTGAGGCAGAGACTCTCTTCCCACTTGGCGAACACTATTGAGTATATCTAACTGGAACGTTTTTTACCCTAATTGTGGGTCTGCAAACTGAACACGGTCTGTACCTGAACGCCATGCAGAACCAGATGATAATCAGGAAGAGGCCTTGCAGTCTGAGCTCTGGAGCTGACAATGACATGATGTTAGCCATCACCTGAAAGAGGGACGGGAAGAGGATTAGTATAATTTTAGATCTGCAACAAAAAAGAGAATGAAAAACTGAAAATCCATTTTTTAGTAAGACGAATGCAAAGTTTAGTTTCAGTTCAGTGACGTTCGGACCTGCTGCAGCATGGTCATGTGTCTGACCGTCCAGCGCTGGAAGGCGGTTCCAGTGTCGCTCTGGATCTCTATGAACTCGTCCTCCTGGGTTTGTGGAGTCTTAATGTTGGTCACCTTCAAAAGAGGAGAGAAGGATCAGCATAAGACGATCTTTTGATGCAGAGATTTTTAATAGTCTGGAATGTAAACTTGGAGAATTAGGTCTTCAATAAAATCAATTTCCTCTAGTTCAGGGGTCTCCAACCTTTCTTCATCTGAGAGCTACTTTGAAAAAATGAAAGTGGCCAAGAGCTACTTGCATGAAATCGCTTGCTGTTTGTACACTTGTGAAATTGCAATAAGCCAATGCTTATCAATAATCTTAAATTCACATCAAGGTCCAAGAAAACATAACTACTATTACTACACTTGTTTTTATGGGCCAAATATTTGAATAGTGGGAAGAGGTGCATTTACTGCCGTCAGATTTTTTAAAGTTTTTTAACACAGTCGGTCAACCTGTAGGCGAGATACTGAAAACCTGCCCGCTAGCTACAGTTGGCTCCCGAGCTACCTGATGGAGACCCCTGCTCCAGTTTGTGTTTCTGAGTGGGTGAAGTGATGATTACAGACTGTGAAAAACAGCTTACAGTGAAAACCCTCTCTGGCTCTCCTTTGGCCTTCCAGTTGGTGTCATGAACGTTCCTCAGCACCATCCACGCCTCGTCATGTCGTGCATTCTGAAACAAACAAACAAACAACAACATGTCTCTTAGTGTGCGTCCTGTGAAACTTCTCATCTTTGATTTTCATATAAGCTGAAGACGGACTGGGTTGTGTAACAGCGTTCCCATGGCGTCCTCTGCCTCTTATCGGACAGCGAGATGTGTGATAATTTGGGAGTGTGTGAGCAGCACTGACACATAAACACAACACCACATGTGGTCGGAGGCCTGACAATGCCCTGGATGAGAAACAGGGTGGGCGGTGTTCTGGTGGCATCTTAGCAGCCTTTTGCTACCTTTGCACAGCAGTGGGATGTTACTGAGGGGGGCTAATGACTCATCATGTTTAAACCAATCACAGCTCGACGTTCACTTACAATGTTGTTGTTGTTCTTAAGCTGACATGTGTCTTTATCTTTTTTGTTTTTCAGCTGAAGCAGCATATTTTAAAGCATGTTTTTCATATCTCTTAATGTGAGGTCATCGGGTCTGACCTCCAGCAGGAAGCGAGGGCTCTCCGGCATGAAGACGACTCCGATGAGTGCAGCCAGCGCCGGGAAGAGACACACGAAGACGAATATCCTCCAGCTGTGGATCTGGAACTCTGTACCGATGGCGAAGCCCCAACCTAGGACGCCATCAAGTGAAAATCAAGCGTGTTAATATTTAAAAGCTCCTGTGAGGAATCTTTAGGCGGTCACAAAAAAAAAAATCATTTAGTTTTTTCTGTTGTTGTGTTTTATGAAGCCTGTGAACGCTGACACGGGGAAAGTGTCAGACCTGACGATGTACAGCACGCTATGCGCTACAATATTTACGACTCATAGATTTGACTGTTAAAGGAAGAATGTGCGGCTCTGATCTCCTCCAGCTGCACAACTCCAGCCCCCCCCCTCAAACATTATCATCTGAAGAAGACGTCTCGTTGTGATTGAGATGGAATAAAATCTTTTTGTTGCATTAGAGCAGATGTGCAGGTAAATCTTCTTCTTCCTCAGTCTGCTGTTTTTCATCACCCTGCACTGCCCCCTTTTTCTGAATTAGATTTTTCTAAGTCAAAAGTTTCTATTGAACTGCTTAAAAAACACAAACAAACAGAAAGTTGAATGAAACTGAAATAAATATAATTAATATCTTCTCTCTGAGCCGCCTTGAGACACTTAGGTTGAACTTCAGAGCAGTCCAGACTCTTTGTTTTCTATGCACATTTTTTTTAATTGTTTGTTTTCATGTGCATCTGAAACACGTGTGTGTGTGTGTGTGTGTGTGTTACCGTAGTGAGGGATGATGCCCCAGGCGGTGAAGGAGGCGTACAGGCCTCCCAGCATCCAGAACATGCAGAGCCAGCTCAGATGTTCTCCTCGTTTGTCCATCTGCAGGAACTCAGTGAAGTAGGTGTACACGATCGGAATGGAGCCGCCGATCCTGGAGGAGGGAACGCCAGAATGAAAAGTGAAAATACAAACTTTATGTCGTCCGTTGTCTTCACCGTCGTCCTGGATTTAAAAGGTTTGGTAAGGTGGGATTGTAAGTTTTTTGTTTTAAGAGGAGGATACAGACAATTCTGGTTTTAAAAACGTGGATTTAGATTTTCACCGTCAACTGAACACTTTGGAGAAACTTAAATCTGC